TTCATGCCTGCTTTGGCAACAGCTAGCTGGTCTGTGTTGGCCAGCCTTAGTCACAACTCACTATTATCAAAACCTTTAACTACAAGCAGAGCAAACAAATTACATGGAAAGGAAAAGTAAGATTGTGAACAAATTAGAACATCCAAGTAAAACTACTGAATACTAATACCACCAAAATAATGGTTCTCTCTTTTGGCAGACTTTGGCCTGTCTGTTGTCCATTCTTGAAGCTTAAATGAATGCGTACATGGTAAAAACAAGTTATATTTAACATTGTGTTATAAAAATAAATCAATTCATACCTACAATGAAACAATGCATTTTAAGAAGCAAGAACAAGGTATAAAATTAACCACATCATGAACCAGTTCTACAGACTGCAATCTCCCTCCACGTACAGCCAACTCTCTGCTTTCCCTCTCCTGCCATACCTGACTGCAGCAGTGACTCAGTGAGAGTGGAGAGCAGTGTTTCACCACAGGCTAATGTTTCTGTGCATGGTGCTGTCCGTTGCATCCATTTATTGTTGATTATAGTTGATCTTTATACTGGGACCCACAATCTAGCAGCAGGAAGGAGATAGGATTTTGGTGCTCTCCGTGTTGTCTCTGCAACCAAACACTGAATTAAATCCAGTGATCCTTATGCAGCGTCCTGATCCCTTGTTCCAAACCAGAAACGGCAGTAGCTCAGTGTAAAATCTGGCTTGACTCTTTGCAGGTATGAATCAGGATGTCCTATGTTGTGGCTTGCTTTAGAAGTGCATGGACTTCATAAAAATATGTTTACAAAATTCCTATGTGTTGACATATATTTAGATACTCATGCCTCTTTCTCCTGCAAGAAAGTACTTTTGCAAAATACTATTTCAACTGGATGTAGCAGTACACTGGTTGTCCCAGTGTGTTCGGCAGCACAGACTTTCTCAATACTTTCCTGTCACCTAGGAGTTAGAATATCCTAGTGGTAGCAAACGCACAGCACCTGCTACCATTTGGCCTAGATGTGGCCAAGCTGAGCTTTCAACTTACCCCTGCAGGCCAAGGCATCAGTTAATCAAGTGCAACTCAAGCACCAAGTCCACATGATATAAGCCAGGCTCCCAGCTAATCCAATACAATCCAGCAACATAATTTTTATCCTGCTGGTCTGTTCAAACCTCTTCGCCTGCACACTCCCAACACATCACCATTCCTCCACCTCTCCTCTGCAGAAATAGACGGTTGCAGTTGAGCATGCTCAGTTATTTATCATTTGTCACTGACAGTCAGAATCTCTCCTCCTAACAGAAACACACTAAGGAATCACTTGCAGTGTAATATAAATGTCGCACTTGTCTCTCAGCAAGCGTGATTATGAATTTTAATAAACTACAGCTTCCCCCACAATTAAAAAAGAAACATAAGCTAGGATAAAGCAGAGGTTGTAACAGGTGGAGAATGTGATAGCTTTTGCTTATTTGTTTGAATACTGATTGAGTTATAGAGCTTTTGATTCCCACACTGTTAGTTTGGTATCATTGGCAAACAAAAAATCTCAATTTGTTTCCTTCACTAAATTAATAAATTCAAATAAGGATCTGGAATATTTGTAGACATAAAGCAAACTGAAATCAATGTTCAAGGGCACTGAGTAATTGCATTGTGCAAGAGACTTAAGATAGACAAGTGATAATTTTATTTCACTCCATTGTCTGAGCAACAGGTCAACTCCCACCTTCAAGGTAGACAAACAGGAGGCTGGAAGAACACAGCAGGCCAGGAGTCTCCAGTCCTGAAGTAGTGTAATACCCAAAATGTTGACTGCTCCTTTCCCCCAGATGCTGCCTGGCTTGCTGTGCGCTTCCAGCCTCCTGTTTGCCTACCTTGGATTCCAGCATCTGCAGTTTTTATGTCTCCCACCTTTGAGGGTTGTTTTTGTACAACTCACCGTAACTTCAAATCTATCAGCATCATCCACACAATGTTCAATCTCTGCATCACGAATTCAGTTCTCAAATGTTAATTAATTACCCTACAACACACAGGTTCAAATCCCCCTCAAAGTACTCAGTAAACATACTGCTAAGTGTGAAGTGAATCATACAGACTTATAACATTATCTCTGTTGGGTGTTCCAGTACCCTATTGCTAGCCTCAGACTTACTGAAAACCAGAACCAACTCTCTCTCCTTCCAATCACTTTCAGCTAGCCATTAGCAGAGGGAAACTCTGTAAAAGTTGACAGTATAAAGACCTGGCTTGTCGATGTGGAAGATGCAGTTATATCTCAAATGTCTTTGTACAAGAACAGTAGTGGATAAACGTGAAGTTGGAATGGAGCAGGATTCTTGTAGAATGACCCAGATCCCATTTGCAGAAGCACCTGATCTGAGTTACCTGTCGTTCCACAGTGCAGTGTCAACACAGGCTGCAGTTGTCATTTTCCAAAAGTAGAATTAGACAAAAAATGCATTTAAGTGGAGGAGTTAACTTCAAACTTGCTAGATGGAGTAGGCCCCTGAGAGATCTGAGAAAATGGTGAGCATTAAATCCTGATGTGATCATATTCAAATCCATTTACTTCAGCCTTTAATTTTATGGTTTCATTACATCCTTTGGTTTAGTTATTTCACTGTCCTCCTGCTCTCTTTTTCACTGTGTTCAGTACGTTCTCGATATTATTATTCTCGATATTAGAGAGGCCGAATGACAGTTTTCAGATATGTCCCACTCTCTGCTTCTATAACGAGAAAGGAAGCAAGACAATTAGATTCAGAGCATATTAAGAACTGGTTAATATGACCACTCAATATAATAAGATTGGGAGGGAGGAGTCATAGAATCATACAGCACAGGAGACCATTCAGCCCATTGTGCCCCTGCCAGCTATTTGAAACAGCCAGCCAAATAGTTGCAATCCCTTGATTTTGCCCATAGCCCTACAAACCTTGCTGCTATCTGCATCACTGAGTGGCTCCATTTATTTTGGCGAGATATGATACATAGCCTCCTAACCTTTGCACTGCGTACTAGGTGCTATGGCACACCACGTCAGCGATATATTCCCCATGGGTTAGGCTGCTGCGGATTGAATGAAGGGAGCTGCCCATGACGTAGTCTGAAACAAACGTCACTAAAACAGATGATCACATTACTATTTGGGGGAGCTTGCTGTGTGCAACTGCCCACTGTGCTTCCTACATTAAAACAGTGACTACATTTCAAAATTGATTAATTGGCTGCGAAGCACTTTGGACATCCTGAGGTTGTGAAAGGTGCTATATGAATGCAAGTGTTTCTGTAGTAAATTTGACACTTGTATAAAACTGATTGAAGACAGGAACTTGTGAGGGACCTTCTTGCTTCAAGCATTCTGGGAATTCCCTTGTTTTGTTCAATTCAAGTGACACATGCAGACCAAATGTCAACCCCCACCTCCCCCGCCCCTCACCCTCAGAGGCTTACTCCTGCTTTTGGCATGATTGGTGGGTGTTTGGATCAAGGTCCGATCTTACCCCCACAGTCCTCCCACCTGAGAACTCAATCAATTCTTAACTTATTCTCGCCCCTGCTCTGGAGATTCCCCTACCTGCGGGAGGTCAGTTTGCTTTGCCAGTTGTGTGATACCACCTCAGCCAAACAAAGCCCACCTCAACCCTTAACACTTTAATCCCTTAATAGGCAAGACTGGCAAAAAACTCTGTCAATCACAGATTTTCAAATTATGAATTCAGCTGGCATCGACTGCCATATGTAGGTTCAAGCCCCACTCAACAATCACAGCAACTTATATTTATTTAGCACTTTGAACACAGTAAAGGTGCTTCACAGGAACATAATAAAACAAAATATGACATGGACTCACATGTTCGGCCAGATGCATAAATGCTTGGTCAAAGAGGTAGGTTTTAAAGGAGGAAAGACAGCCAGAGAGATTGAGGCAGGACAATTCCAGAGGGTTTTGTTAGTTGAAAGCATGGCTGCCAGTTGTGAAAAAATTAAAGTGAGGGGTGTGCATGAAGCCCCAGTTAGAGGAGAGCAGAAATCTCAGAGGGTTGTCAGCTGGAGGGAGCTACAGAGTTGGTGAAAGGGGAGGCCATTGAGGGATTTGAAACCAAGAATTTTAAAATTAAGGCATTGCTTAACCACAAGTCAATATAAGTCACTGAGCATAGGGGGTAATGGGTGGATGGGACTTGGGGTTGAAAAAGAGTACAAGTACTAAAGGTTTGGAAGATGTCAAATTAGTGGACAGTGGAAGATGGGAGGCTAGCCAGCATGCATTGGAACATTTGAATCTGGAGACAACAGACCAGAGACTTGACTAAATACCCTAAGCTTGACTGTATTTGAAGAAAAGCAGAGAGTTATCCTGGTCAATAATTATTCTTCAAGCCAACATCAGTAAACACAGATTGTCTGGTCAATCATGACATTGCTGTTTATGGGATCTTGCTGTGTGTAAAATATTTGCCTGCTTAACAACAATTGTTACTCTTCTGAGTTATGTATTTTGTGATGTAATGTCGTTACAGTCAACAATGCTTCGTTCAAATGATTTTTTAATTCTAACCAAAACTGCAAAACACTTCTTGTACTGTTTTATTAAAATCAATACATTCAAACTGTTGAATAATTCAGCTGTTTCTATAGCAAAATTGATTTTGAATTAACAGGAGTACGCTACCTATAGGTTGAAGGTTCTATACTTCTTTCCCCCTGAAGCACATCCATTACTAAAATACAGAATGGTGGCTCGGTGGCTCAGTGGTTAGCACTGCTGCCTCAGAGCGCTAGGGACCTGGGTTTGATTCCCCCCTTGGGTGACTGTCTGTGTGGAGTTTGCATGTTCTCCCCGTGTCTGCGTGGGTTTTCTCTGGGTGCTCTGGTTTCCTCCCACAGTCCAAAGATGTGCAGGCTAGGTGGATTGGCCATGCTAAATTGCCCAAAGTGTTCAGAGATATGTAGATTAGGGGGGTTATAGGGAGTTGGGTCTGGGTGGGATGCTTTCACAGTCGGTGTGGACTTGTTGGGCCGAAGGACCTGTTTCCACACTGTAGGGATTCTGTGATCTATGATCAGAACATGCAACAATATAAGCCTGCTGAACCCGATACAGATCTGGATTCCATCTTGGTGCAATTGTTTGTTTGCTGCAGTGTAATAGCTATCTACTGTGTCTGAACTCCTGAACTGATGCCGACCAGCAAAATACCAAAAGGTACTGAATGATCCTGATGCTGATCTATCTGTTGGGGGGATCCATAAAGCTGGCAAGGAAAGGGAAGAGTTTTGCAAACTATCGGATTCCCACAGGCAGATGGTAACAGATAAGCTCTGAGACATAACTAAGAAAATCTAGCCTCACCAGTCTTACAAAAAGATACCTGAACCAGACCCTGAGAGATGTGTCCAGGACACAGTGGGATAGCAAAACATCCGAGAATAGAACTTGCAGCTAGCCCAGAGCACGAAGACAGAGTCAAGGTCTGAAGGGCTAGATCAGGACAAACATGATTCAGTCTTTCTTTGCGATAGGTGACAAACTCTGGAACTAGAAGGGTATTTGAGGCCAGAAAATTTGACCCTACCCACATTCCTATATCTGGTGCCATAATGGAGAGACAATCCTGGGCAAAGATTGAAAGGCTGACGGGTCAATTTCATTACAACTGATGTGCTGACAGGAAAGATTAGTCAATGGAATCACAGTTAGTAAATTTCATTTCTCCTCCTGACTAGTAAATATTATGCATGTTAATTTTAAAATAAAACTGTGTATAAATAATTAACAAATAATCATCACCCTCCCCTACCCACCCAAAAGGGAGTGAAAATATAGAGTGGAACAAATGTTGTACATACCCTGCATTTGTCCAGAGAGGATATCCCTGGATAGGCTTTCAGTATCCTCCTCTTTGATGCATCTGGACCCTGCTGAAGCTTTGCCTTGGTGTTTGATGAATTCTGTTTGACTCTGTATCAACATTGGCCTCAAGCCAGATTCTAAGTGGTTCTATTTTGAAAATAAAGAAAAAGCTGAATAATTAAAAGTGTGACTGGCATTGTACCACATTAGTGTTGGCACTGTATCACCTCAACTATGGCACTGTGCTGCTCCAGCCCTGGCATCATGCTGCCATAATCCTGGCACAGTGCTGCCTGAGCCCTGGTACTGTACCACCCAGCCCTAGAAATACCACCTCAATCCTGGCACCGTATCAGCTCAGTTTGAAGATCCCATGGAACAATAGCAACATCCCTACTACTGGGCCAGAGCTCCAGGTTCAAGTCCCACCTCAAGATTTAATGGAAGGTACGTCAACAGAATGATTATCAATCTGTAAACTCTTCCAATACGCCTACAACAGATAGTAAGAGCAGAAGAAGTTTCAAAACCATGTAGAAACTGCAGCACTATAGCCTCCCCATGTTAGAAGACTCAACACAGAAGTTCTTGCCATGAGCAAGTGTCATCCTCATTCTGATAGACTATTATACACACCACCCAGCTCTGGCACTATACCAACAATTCACAGTACCCCAATACATAAAACTTGGCATACCTCAAGTTTCATATTCTTCACATTGACTTCATCTGAGTTTAATCTGGAGGTAAAATAATGATTTAAAAGGGTATAAGAAGATTCCAAAGAAACTAGACTCTAATGAGTAAACATCTTCCCCAATCATAGAATTAGTCAGTCATAGAATTTTAAAAATGAAGTAATTCAGCACATTATACCTGGGCTTATTGAAGGAGAGCTATTTCCTTAGTCTCTCTTTCTGTATTCATTTTTAAAAAAAATCTATTTCAAATATTTGTCCACATCCATTTTAAAAGTTATCATTGCTTCTGCTATTTCCAATAGCGTGCCATGTCTGAACGACCCTCTAGCATTCTATGAATGATAATCTTAAAATTATATTCTCTAGTTGCAGACTCAGTAATTGGTGGAAACAGTGTTTCTTCCCCAGTTTATCATATCCCCTTTTAACGTTCAACAAATCTCGTAGCTCCAGTCACATGCGCATACTTGCCAGCAGGGGTCACTGTGTACACACCAGGATCTGAACCCCACCCCCCCAAAAACCCCGATTTCCACTTGAAAAGCCCGAACTCCCTCAAGAATCGGAATCAACTAACTCGGTAAAAACAGAGATTACACTTCGGGTCTGTCAGACAACAGTTAAGAAACCACGTTCGCCACAATGTCATAATAACCCTTAGAAGGTCAGAGAAAAGTTCTAGGTTGAAATAAATCAAAGGATTCGGAATCAAAAAAGCCTAGCTGCTCTGAATTTCCCTGAGGAAGGGGTCACTGGACCCGAAACGTTAACTCTGATTTTTTCCTTCACAGATGCTGCCAGACCTGCTGAGCTTTTCCAGCAACTTCTGTTTTTGTAGCTGCTCTGTACACCCTGGTTACGATCGGGAACCTGCTCTATCTTACCGTGCTTGCCTCTGAGCCACCAGTCGAGCCAGTGAAAGGAAATCGACTCTCCCAATCAGTAAGTTGCTATCCACCATGCAAAACGGAGCAGCCGCCTCATTGTTGGTCAACTGGAAACAAGACAGTAGGAATAAACAGAAAT